ACAATTTATCAATCTTGTTTATCTTTGCAAAGAACTAACTCTTTGATTCTTTGATCCTTTTCATGTTTTTTGTAAATTCTCAATTTCATTAATTTCCATTCTAATATTATTTCCCATTTTCTACTGATTTGGGTGTTAGATTATTCTTCTTTTCTATAGCCTTTATGTTTTGTTTTTTTATTTGGGATATTTTCTGTTTTTTTAATGTAGGGATTCAGTGCTATAAACTTCCCTTACAAACAGCCTTCATACTCTCCCAGAGATTTTAGTATGCTTTATCTCTATTCTCATTCTTTTCAAAAATTTTTAAATTTTCCCCGTGATTTCTTCTTCTTTCATTTTTTTTAGTTTTATTCATTTTATTTTTTTTAAATACAACATCAGAATGCATTACAATTCTTATTACACATATAGAGTACAATTTTTCATATCATTGTATATAGAGTATGTTCACGGCAATTCATGCCTGTATACATGTACTTTGTTTTTTTGTATTACAATTCTTATTATACATATATACCACAATTTTTCATATCTATGTTTATAAATAAAGTATGTTGACACCCAATTCGAGCCTTCATACATGTACTTTGGATAATGATGTCCATCACATTCCACCATCCTTGCTAATCCCCTTCCCCCTCGCTTCCCCTCCCACCCCTCTTCCCTATCTAGAATTCATCTAATCCCCCCATGCTCCCCCTCCCTACCCCACTATGAGTCAGCCTCCTTATATCAGAGAAGACATTCAGCATTTGTTTTTTGGGGGGATTGGCTAACTTCACTTAGCATTATCTTCTCCAACACCATCCATTTACCTGCAAATTCCATGATTTTATTCTCTTTTAATGCTTAGTAAAATTCCTGTGTGTATATATGCCACATTTTTTATCCATTCATCCACTGAAGGGCATCTAGGTTGGCTCCACAGTTTAGCTATTGTGAATTGTGCTGCTTTAAATATTATGTGCGTATGTCCCTGTTGTGTGCTGTTTTTAGGTCCTTTGGGTGTAGTTCAAGGAGGGGGATAGTTGGGTTAAATGGTGGTTACATTCCCAGATTTCCGAGGATTCTCCATACTGCTTTCCATATTGGCTGTACCAATTTGCAGTCCCACCAGCAATGTATGAGTGTACCTTTTTCTCTACATCCTCTCCGACACTTATTGTTGTTTGTCTTCATAATAGCTGCCATTCTAACTGGAGTGAGATGATATCTTAGAGTAGTTTTGATTTGCATTTCTCTGATTGCTAGAGATGATGAGCATTTTTTCATATATTTGTTGATTGATTGTATATCCTCTTCTGAGAAGTGTCTGTTCAGATCTGTGGCCCATCATTTGTTGATTGGTTTATTTATTTTTATTTATTTATTGGTGCTAAGCTTTTTGAGTTCTTTATTATCCTAGAGACTAGTGTTCTAGCTTATGTGTGAGGGGTAAAAATTTGCTCCCCCTTGATTTCTTTTTAGATCCCTTCATCATTCAACTATGTATTATTTAATCTATAGGTGGTAGAATGGTTTTTGTTTTTATCTTGTCATTGATTTCTAATTACACTCCATTATTATCCGATAGGGGGGAAGAAATTTTTGTGCCTTAAAATATGATCTATTTTAGAGAAATTTGCAGGTGCCACAGGGAAGACAGTGAGTTTGATGGATTAACTTTTCCAATGGATGAAATATTATACAACATTGCTTTACTGTACTTCAATAATGAATATGCTGAAAAAGAATAAATCTAACCATTAAGGTGAAAGACCTTTACAATAAAAACTATAAAACATGTTAGAAAGAAATTGAAGATGTTAGAAGATGAAAAGATATTCCATGTTCATTTATAGGCAGACTTAATATTATCAAAACAGCCATGCTACCAAAAGCATTGTACAGATTCAATGTAATTTTCATCAAAATGCCAATGACATTCATCACAGAACTAGAAAAATCAGTACTGAAATTTATTTGGAATACTAAGAGATCAAGAATAGCCAAAACAATACTGAGGCAGTATACCAAACTTCAAATTATACTACATCATGGTACAGTCAATAAGTCATACATGAAAACAAATGTAATAGAAGATATAGAGAAAAACCTACATAGATACTGTCATTTGATACTAGACAAAGATGCTAAAAGCATAGAAAGAAAGAAGATAGAAAAGATAGCCTTTTTAAACCACTGTTGCTGGGAAAATTGGATATCCATATGTATAAGAATGAAACTAGAACTCTATATGTCCCCCTGCACAAAATTGAACTCAATGTGGATCAAAGACCTAGGAATTAGACCAGGAAATCTACAACTACTAGAGGAAAATGTGGGCTCAAACTTTCAATGTGTTGGTACTGTCTTCCTTAAAAAGACTCCTAAAGTGCAAGAAATAAATCCAAAAATCAATAAATTGGATTATATCAAATTAAAATTCTTCTATACAGCAAAGGAATTTTTATGGTAACCATTTGTTTATTTTTGAGAAGAGTAGGCTGAGGATGGTCAAGTGATTCATAATAATAAATAAAAATTAAAACAGGAAAAAATATCTCATAATACTCTCTTATCATTTTCTTTTTTAATTTTAATTTGTTATATATGATAACAGAATACATTACAACACATACTACACATTTAGAGCACAATTTTTCATATCTATGGTTGTACATAAAGTAGGAAAGATGGTGGGATGTGATGATCATCATTCCCCTAAGAACATGTATGAAGACATGAAGGATGTGACTCTACTGTGTACAGCAAAGGAATTTAAGTCAGAATGACAATTATCCAGAATACATAAAAACTTTAAAAAGCATACAAATCATATTAAACTCTGGTGATGGTATGGAAATAAAATACACTGATACATTGTTGGTGGTATTGCAAATTAATACAACCACTCTTTAAAGCAGTATAGTGATTCCTTAAAAAAGTAGGAATGGAGCCAGCATCTGACCAAGCTTTCCCACTCATCTCCATGGTATATATCTAAAATAAACATACTATCAACATACAGTCACCTCAGTGTTTATAGTAGCACAATTAACAATAGCCAAGCTATGGAACCAATCCAGATACCTGTCAACAGATGAATGAATAAAGAAAATGTAATACACACACACACACACACACACACACACACACACACACACACGAATTTTACTCAGCTGAAAAGAAGAATGAGATTGTGGCATTTACTGCTAAATAGATGCAGCGGTAGAAAATCATGCTCAGTGAAACAAGCCACACCCAGAAAAATCAAGGGTCAAATGTTTTCTCCCCTATGCAGAAGGAAGAACAAAATAAGAGGAGGGGAGTGTGTTGGCATTTCATGAAATTACAAGAGATATCCGTGGAATATAAGAAAGGGATTGAGGGGAAGGAAGGAGGACAGGAAAATAGTTGTTGGTGGAATGAAACTGACCAAGAGAACATAGGCAAAGTAAAAAGATACCAGTTCCACTTCAGAGGTGGGTGGACAGAAATGGGATGTTTCTTTTCTTTTCTTCTTGAAGAAGGACATGGAGTTTGCTTTTGATGATATACAATATTCTGGGGATGGATAATCATCATTACTTTAACAACAATGTACATCTAACTAGTGTCACTGAGCTCCACAATTAAAGGGTTGAAATGGTACAATTAGTTATACATGTTTTAACTTAATAAAGTAAATTTAAAAAAAAAAACATTTATTATTTCTTAATTTTTGTGTGTCAGGAATCCAAAGAGAGCTTTACTGTGGCTCTAGGAGTCTTAAGAATTTTCATTGAAGACGATGGCTATGATTTTATTTGCATCTGAAAGCTTCATTAGATGTACATACATTTTAAAATTTACTCATGCATTTACTGACAAGGTACAGTTCTTCTGTGGATCTAGTCTGGAGCTCTGCCTTGATGTCTTTCTACATGGGTCTCTTCCTAGGGCAGCTCACATAATAAGAGTTTGCAAAGTGAAAGCCACATCTTTATACAACCTATTCTTGGAATCTGTATCTCTTCATGTTGGTCATAGTCTATTGATAAGAAGTGAGTCAATAAATTAATATCCCATCTAATGGGAGGGAATTATGTAAGGGTATGAATAACAAGGGACAGTGACCATTAGGACCACCCTAAAAGCTATTACAATTCTCTTGATACAAGAGAGATTAGTGCCATTTGAGAAGAAAATTGAGGAGAAAGGAAAGGAATGGGGAATTTTGGAGCTCAGTAGGAGGAGAGAATGCACTTTGAGCTGAGAGAGGTAATGTTTTGAAGGGAGATATAACATTTGAAGTAGGGTCCAATTTGACACAACCCCTTTCCTTTAAGTTAGCTTGTCTAAATAGATATCCAGAACTTATAATCACAATGAAGGATATAAAAGCCCCACCTAAACTCTCAGAATGATGAAGACCATATGGAGGTAAAGGCTTAGAGGCTCTATTAATCCAATGATATTTGATTTCAAAAGCAATATTTACCTATCTATGGTCAAACAAAACACTCAAGATTCATAATAACTGACCCTCTCCTATACCAACAAAAAGCTTGTCTCTCAAATTCAAATTTTAATGTCCTTGCCCAGTTAAAAATTAAATAAATAAAAATATCAACCATGAGGTATTGCATAGTTCAGATTAAATGAAGTTTAGTTTCAATCCCTCTCCACAATAATTCCATTGTAAAATCTTAAAAATGTAACAATTGTTGAACCTTTAAGAGTAAGGAACTTGATCTCCTGCTAGTAGTAATTGGTTTTAAATCTTCAACTGATTCCTAAAAAAAGCAAATTAAGTAATAAATGAAGGAAACAGTATAGTTTTTTGCTGCTGTTTTTGTTCTGTGACTACTTAGCAAAATAGGCACTTTTCCTCTAGGGTTTGAATTAGTTTATACATTCATGTTGTTTTATATGTAGCTCTTCTCAGATAAATTCATTCAAGGAAGGGAATAAAATTTTTCATTTAGCATATATTTCCTTTGGGAATGATTGCCATTTGTGTTTTTTTCTTGCAGGATGGCAAAGATTACATACCACTCAGTGGCAATGGTAGAATTCCCACATTTAGGATGCTGGATCCAATGCAAGACACCTTAAGCAATGAGATCATCCTGGAAAACAGGTGAGATCCAGTAGATTCTGTTTCTTTGATGTGATGGTTAGGAAAATTTTTAACAGTCATACTTGTCTAGAATAGGTAGTTATTGTAAACGGTGGTATTGGAACCAACTGGACATAAATACTAGAGCCAGATGAAAGTCATAGTTCTATGTTTACTGCTAATATGTTAGCTTGGTGTATGGGCTTATGTGTGCAACCAGAGGACAGGTTAATACTTATTTGGATTAGACTTACACATACTTGCAGTGTTCCCCAACAGATAGAATATACATTTTACAGACAATCATATTCTAAAGAGAAGAATGATCTGAAGAGAGTATGCCCAATTTTTTTTCCTGAACTTATCTGATAACTCAGTTTGTATCTCACAGTGGAGGGAAGGAAAGATTTTCTGGGATTATTCTCATTGAATTCTCATTGAATGTCATTCCATGTAAATTATAATACTAAATAATAGTGTGTCTGTTAACAGAGGACTATAAGAATGTTAGGTGAGTTCACAATGTCAACAGAATAAAGGAAGAATAAAAATCTTATGATCATCTCAATGCATACACAATAAACATTTGATAAAAGTGAACATCCCTTCATGATAAAACACTGAGCTAGTTAGGTATAGAAGGAATATATCTTAACCTACTAAAGACCATATATAACCATCCCAAAGATTGCATCATATTGGGTGGGTAAAATTGAAATTTTCCCAATATCTGAAATAAGTAAAAGATATCAGTATTCACTATTTTAATATAGGGATCAAATACTACAGAGAAATCAGTGAAGTGAAAGAATAATGGGCATCCAAACTAAGAAGAAATAAGTCAGCATGTCCCTGTTTACAGACATCAGGATCTTATATTTTGAAAACCCCCAAATTCCACACAAATATTACAACTAATAAAGAACTTCAGGAAATTGTAGGATGCAAAATCCACATTAAAACACATCAGTAGAATTTCTATATGCATATACTGAATTGTTGGAAAAAAGAAATGAATAAAGTAAATACATTTCCAGTAGCTTCTGAAAACAAAATACTTAGAGATATATTTAACCAAATATATGAGATCTCTACAATGAAAACTATAAAAATATTTATGTAAAGAAATTAAGATATACAAAATTGGAAAGATAAATGATGTTCATGGACTGGAAGAATCAATATTGTTAAAAAGTCTATCCTACTAAAGTGACCCAAAGAATCAATGCAATCGCCATCCATGAAATGCATTCTTCACAGGGATAGAAAAAAACCCATAATATTTGTATGGAACAACAAAATAACATCAAGTAGTCAAAACAATCTTGAGCAAACCAGAAGGCTTGCACTATCTCACTTTAAATTATACTCCAAACCTGTAGTAATCAAAATAGGATGGTATAAATTGGAAAAAAATAGATATACAGGTGCATAGAACAGACTAGAGGGCCTAGAAGTAAAGCCACTTATCCGTAGCTAACATATTTTCAACAAATATGATAGGAAAGTGTTTTAGAAGAACAGTTTTTAAATGAATGATTACTGGAAAGCTAGATAGCCACATGTACAAAAAATTACACAAAATTCCATTATCCCTCACCAGTTAAAAAGTCAACTTAGAGATCTACCCACACTGGGCTCTACAGGACCCAGGCACACAGTGGGCTGGGTCTACCCCTTTCCTGGCTGGGCAGACACTAGCCAGAGCCTAGGCTCTAGTGCAGGACTGCCCCTTCTGCTAGTGCACTACCACGAGAGCTGAGATACAGCCCAGGCTGCCCACACAAGCCCACTTGGGATCCAAGATCTCAACCGGGAGGTCAGGCCCAGTGGCACAGATCCACCCACACCAGCCTTTGCAGGGCCCAGGTGCACAGTGGGCCGGGTCCACTCCTTTACTAGTGGGGCAGACTCTCACCAGAGCCTAGTCTCTGGTGCAGGACCACCCCTTCTGAACAGTGCACTACTGTGAGAGCTGAGATCTAGCCCAGACCTCTCACAACAGCCCATGTGGGATTGAGGATTTCAGTAGGCCTGGTTCACCCATCCCCTGGTGGGGCAGACACTGCCAGAGACTAGCCTTTGGTGCAGGACCACCCCTTACTACCAGCAGACTACCACAGGAGGTCAAGCGCAGTGGCCCAGATCCACCCACTCCAACTTATGCAGGTCCCAGTCCCAGGATGCAGTAGCATCCATTGAGGGACACCCACAAGTTCTGGAAGCCCACCATCAAGGTGAGGTACAGACAATCTGCACAGGTACTACAAGATTATAGGGAAGAAACTGTAATATCTCAGATTTACACTGCAAGAAAGGAAAATACATAAACAACATGAAAAAACATGGGAGGAAAGTGCCCCAAACAAACCAGGACACTATAATAACAGAATCTATGGACAGCAAAGTTGTTGAAATCTCAGAGAAGGAGTTCAAAAGGTTCATAATTAAAATGATCGGTGAATTAAAGAATGACCTAAATGAGCAAATACAAGCAAAAATTGATCACTTCAACAATGAGATAAGAGGCATATACAGGTAGCAAAAGATTACTTCAAGAGAGAGAGACCCTGAAGAAAAACCAGTCAGAAATCCTTGAAATGAAGGATACAATAAATCAAATAAAAAAATCAATAGAAACCATTACCGACAGATAGATCACTTGGAAGAAAGAACATCAGATAATCAAGACAAAAGTATACAATCTGGAAAATAAAGTTGATCACACAGTGAAGAAAGTTAAAAAAACATGAATAGAACATCCAAGAATTATGGGACAACATCAAAAGACTAAATCTAAGAGTTATTGGAATAGAGGAAGGCACAGAGTTTCAAACCAAAGAATGCACAATCTCTTCAATGAGTTAATATCAGAAAATTTCCCAAACATGAAAAACGAATTTGAAAACCAAATACAAGAGACTTACAGGACACCAAATGTACAAAATTACAATAGATCTACACCAAGACACATTATAATTAAAATGCCTATCATACAGAATAAGGATAGAACCTTAAAAGCCACAAGAGAGAGGAATCAGATCACATATAGGGGGAGACCAATTCATATCTCAGCAAATTTTTCAACCCAGACCCTCAAAGCCAGGAGATCATTGAACAACATATACCAAGATCTGAAAGAAAATGGATGCCAACCAAGAATCTTATGTCCAGCAAAACTAAACTTTAGATTTGATGATGAAATAAAAACCTTCCATGATAAAAAAGTTAAAATAATTTACAACTAGAAAGCCTACACTACAGAACATCCTCAGCAAAATATCCAAAGAAGAGGAAATTAAAAACAATGATGAAAATCAGCAGAGGGAGGGATTAAATCAATTATAAAATGAGGAAAATCTAATCAGATAGATTAGTCATGTTAAATACCAAAAAAAAAAAGAATGCCTGGGAATACAAATTATGTCTCAGTAATAACCCTGAATGTTAATGGCCTAAACTCAAGAATCAAAATGCATAGACTAGCATATTGGATAAAAAAAAGACCCAACAATATGCTGCCTCCAAGAGACACATCTCATAGAAAACAACATTCACAGACTGAAGGTGAAGGGTTGGGAAAATCATACCACTCACATGGACTGAGGAAGCAATCAGGGGTTTCCATCCTCATATCAAATAAAGTAGACTTCAAACTAAAGTCAATCAAAAAGGATAAAGAAGGACACTACATACTTCTCAAGGGAAACATACACCAACAAGACTTAACAATTATAAATATATATGCCCCAAACAATGGAGCAGCTATGTTCATCAAACAAACTCTTCTCAAGTTCAAGAGTCAAATAGTCCACAACACAATACTTTTGGGTGACTTTAACACACCTCTTTCATCACTAGATAGATCTTCCAAACAAAAGCTGAACAAAGAAACTTTAGAATTCAATAATACAATCAATAACTTAGACTTAACTGACATATATATATATATATATATATATATATATATAATATTCCAACCTTTAACGAGAGAATATACTTTCTTCTCAGTAGCACATGGATCCTTCTCTAAAATAGACCATATACTATGCCGCAAAGCAACTCTTAGCAAATATAAAAAATAGAAATACTACCCTGCATTATATCAGGTCATAATGTAATGAAATTAGAAATCAATGATAAAATAAGAAATAAAATCCACTCCGACACCTGGAGACTATGGGTTACAGAAGAAATCAAAGAGGAGATTAAAAAATTTTTAGAGGTGAATGAGAAACAAATACAATTTATCAAAATCTCTGGGACACTATGAAAGCATTTCTAAGAGGAAAGTTCATTGCATGGAGTTCATTTCTTAAAAGAAGAAAGAGTCAACAAATAAATGACTTAACACATTGGGCTGGGGATGTGGCTCAAGCGGTAGCGCGCTCGCCTGGCATGCGTGCGGCCCGGGTTCGATCCTCAGCACCACGTACAAACAAAGATGTGTCCGCCGAAAACTAAAAATAAATAAATAAATAAATATTTAAAAATAAATAAATAAATAAATAAATAAATGACTTAACACTACATCTCAACACCCTAGAAAAAGAAGAACAAATCATCACCAAAAGCAAAAGAAGACAGGAAATAATTAAAATCAGAACTGAAGTCAATAAAATTGAAACAAAAGAAACAATTTAAAAATTGATAGAACAAAAAGTTGGTTCTTTGAAAAAATAAATAAAATTGACAGACATTTAGACATGCTAATGAAGAGACGAAGAGTGAAATCTTAAATCACTATCATATATGATGACAAAGGAAATATCACAAAAGACACTAAAGAAATACAGAAGATAATTAGAAATTACTTTGAAAATATCGAAGGCATTGACAAATTTCTAGAGTCATATAATTTGCCCAAATTTAATTAGGATGATATACACAATTTAAACAGATCAATTTCACATGGCGAAATAGCAGGCTCCATCAAAAGTCTACCAACCAAGAAAAGCCCAAGACTGGATGTATACACAGCCGAGTTCTACAAGACCTATAAGAAGAACTAATTCCAATAC